CGCGGGTTGCGGAGGAGCACAGGTTGTGTTACAGGAGGTTAACCCTTACCTCAGCTGGCTTCCCAGGCTACCTGCCAGGTTTAAATAAAGGCGAGGAAAAAAATCCCAGCTCTGCTTCTCACCCGGCTCCCCTTCGATAGCATCTCTCTTGTTTCCCAGGCTGAGCTGCTGCCCAGGTAACTTCACCCCCCCAAGGTGAAGCTGCAAGCCAAGCAACCCCAGCTCCATCATCCCACTCACGTCATTCGGATCCCCGCTACCGCCCTGACCGCTGCGAGCGGGAGATGCTGGATAAACTTTGAAATATCGCCCCATTGGCGATGGCGAGTCCGCTGGAAACCAGCGATGGGCAAATCGTTAACGGCAGTGACGCCAAAGCCTTGGTGCTGCTGTCCTTCTGAGGAACCTTCCCAGCACTGCTGTGGCAGCAGGGAGCTGGCTAATGAGCAAAGCCATCCCCGGTAGGTTTAGTTACGTCCTTCGATAACGAGGTTATGCCCTAAACAAGCAGCAGCCACGCCTCCCTCCACCCCTCTCCTAATCAGTGTTGGAGAACTCAGCCAAAACAGCAAGCGGGGGGACCCCAACAAAGCCTCTGCTGCTAAAGGGCTTCAGGGATGCTGAGCCCAAGGGACCATCCATGCCCAGGGACTGGGGACCCTTGCCCAAGAGAGAGGGGTGAAACCACAAAACAGGCCCTCCCAGGGGAGAGCCAAGCTGTCCCAAGCGGTACAGAGGCCCCCCACACCTCACGACACCCGTGAGAGGGATGTCTCACGTGCCAGCGGGGAAGAGCTGCCAGCCAGCGCGCCCAGCTTTGGGTACAACGCTCAGGACTCCCATCCGAAACGCAGCCCCGGCATCGCACGGTGGTTAGATGTCACGGAGCACGGATGCTGCCGGACCCAAGGTCTCTCCTACTCCTTTGAGTGCTGCTTCCTCTCGGCGAGCCCTCCTCCTCCTTTCCCTCCCCTTTTTTCCCCCTAAACGCCAAAAAAATCAGGACTTGCTCTAGTGAGCTGTGACCAGCCTGGACATAATGACGGCTATTCAATAAAGTCGAATGCAAACAAAATGATTAAGCCCATGATTAATGATTAAGAGGCAGGAACGTCTAAGCCAGCTGAAAGCCTGCCCAGCACTCAGCAGCAGCGGGCTGTCCCCCCTGCCTGGGAGCGGGGAGGAGGGATCACGCAGGATCCGGCCAACGCACAGCCTTTGGCTCAAGGTCCCGAAAAGGGACTCCCCCACCAGCTTGGTGGCCCCGAACAAAGCTTTCCCCTCATGCACAAGAGCCCTGTGGGCCAGTCACGTGCCAGACACGGGGTGATGCAAAGCGGTGGGAAACCGCAGTGGGTTGTCGCATGTCCTAGTTGGAAGTTGGGAGCTGCATCTTCTGCTGGAAACTGGTCCACAGCAAGGGCAAGCCTAACTGCTTCCTCTTCTTGTGTGGGTATTGAACAGCGTAAAGATAGGACGTGTACTGGAGCTCCGGCATAACCATTTTCTCGCAGGTTCTGAGAGTACTGTTGTCCAAGCCTTGTTTGAGGTTGTACCCAAGGATATTTGCAGCCCCTGACTGGAAAGGTAGGAGAGCTTTGTTCTTGATGTGATCCTTCCCCACTGCCTCCTGGTCCAAGAGACAGGTCTCCATGAGCTCCTTCTGTCTCGTTCGCAGGTGATTCACTTCTTCCTCCAGCTCCTCGAGTCCAATGGTCTCCTCAATTCTCCTCCAGAAGCTCTGGTTGAAGTGCAGGTAGAGCTTCCAGTCCAGCGAGCACCACGTTTTAATCCGCTCCTGGCTTTCTGGAGTCAAGGTCTGGACAGTGTCCTGGCTTCTGGAATTGAGCTTGAAGTAAATCACGTCATCCAGATCCCAGCACAAAGTGTGCTTCAAGAGGATCATGGACTCGTCAAAGTAGTCTGCTATCAAGATCAGGTGGAAGTTCTGTTCGATCTCCTTCAAGACGTCCTGGATGTACTTTTCGTTGTCCTCTGCATTGTTATCATAGCCAAAGTCAAACCACATGATATTCCTGGCGTAGATGTTTCTCTTGTAATCTGCCGGATGGTAATACTTCATGGGTGACGCCAGGTACTCGTTCACGTCCTTGGAGACCCTGAAGGCAGGGACGCTGTCCTTGTAGTAGATGTAGGAAGACTCCAGAAGAGGAATGGGGTTCCTCAGGATGGAGAAGTAGAAGGTGTTTGCTGCCATCACCTTTTGCACCTATTTGTGGGGAGGAAGAAGACAGACTGTTAGTCTGGAGGCACTGCTTGTTCAACCAGATTTCTCTGCAGGTGTCGTGGCTCTTTCTTACCTCCAAGGGGTTAAACCGCAGGTGGTTGCACATGATGTTGTAGTTTTGTCCTGTGGTTTCAAATTCCTCCACAAAGTGGGCCAGGAAGGTCTTCGGGTAGCCCAGATGAAGGAGCTGGTCAGCTGGGAGGGCAACGGTGAGGTTGTACCTCTCCGCGAACCTGAACATGATGTTCAGGACGGTGCTGCTGGCCGTCTTGTGGGTCTTGAGGAACATGACGTTAGTCCTGGCACGGCAAGGCGTGGAAGGTATCAGCAGCTCCTTGTAGCTCTTTGAGATTCTGTAGGAAGGCAACAGATGGGGAAAACAGCCTCTCCGGTGCCATACCCCATCTCTGAGACCTGGCAGAGCCAAACCCAAGCAGGTTCTCCTTTGGATACCACACCTGCAGCCGGTGCATGGCACCAACCCGAACAAGCCCCATCCCTCAGGCGTAGACGTTGGACAATTTTCTGCTTCTCCAGGTCCTCAATTACCCACAGGCTTCAGCTTAATCCACTTTTCTTTTGCCATACGGCTGATTTTGCCCCGAAGAGCTGCACATAGGCTAATTTGATCCCTTGCCTGCCCAAATGTGGATCTAGACCCTAACTTTGGGCCGCTGCCCTCCCAGTATTAGCCTAAACCTCACGAGAGTCAAATCAAGTGTCACAGGTCAGATCCTTGCTGCCCTGGGCAGACGAAGTCATGCAACCTCGCTTCTGCTTTACTTACACGTAATTTTTATTCTTCACGTGGAAGAATCCCGACAGGAAGATGAGTCCCAGGCAAAGGCTGAAAACGACGAAACATTTGATATGCCTGGAAAGAAAGAAGGGTGTCAGCGGCTTTTTATCTGATAGTCCTTCCCCGAACGCAAACCACCAAACTTCGCATACTGCCCTCGAGAAGTTTTATCACCGGGAATACAATTTTAGGTCTCCGTGGTGCCGGCCACCTTTGGGTCCCCAGCTGTGTCAGCAGCTCTGGCGTCGGAGGCAGGAGAGTGAGAAATTGCACCTTCACTAACGTTGGCCTTTGGCGAGACACAGCCTACTTCGGGCAGAGCCTAAGCTCTTCTGCCAGCCTCCCGCTCTGCTGCCTTTTATTTTGCTTTTCTTTCGGTTTTCTGGGGCTTTAGAGCTTATTCACTATTCAAACTTCTAATTTATTCACCAGAAAATGAGCCCTTTGTAGGGGTATAAGGATTTCCCTGGTAAGAAATCTGAGCAGCTCCTGTAATCACAACACTCCAGAAGATGGGGATCTCCAAGAAACACTAAACTGAATTTTTTTCAATAGGGCTGAGATTTTTCAATACAGAAAACCGATTAACAACCCGACAGCACCTGTAGCGGACTAATTCCGCCCTGCTTTCAAACAAGAGGATTGCTTCCCCACCGCCACAGCTCCTTCTCCCAGCCCAGCTCTCGTGCTCGGCCTCACCCAGGTCTCCCTCTCACCAGATCTCACTTTGGCTAGACTTTAAAATTCCTGATCTCAGAGGCGGCCCTTTGGACCAAGCGCCTCATCCACCCATCCTTTGTCTGGATAACAACGAGGGGTGAGTCTTTTGCAGCGCTAATTAGGTAACCACGATGTATCATCACCAGTGCGGTCTAGCTAGGACACGTAGAGGATCTTCTGAAGGTTTCATGGCCACCAAAAAGGAACTTCTCATCACCAAGCTTGATCTGACTTCTCTGATCCTAAAAGCTTTTATAACTCAGTGTGAATTCCACGTTTTCAGCCACCATGTCCAAAATGCAGCAGACCTGACTTGGGCTTTAAGTTGTTTTGAGAAGATACAGTCCCACCGACGGCATGGGATGGTCACACTCCTGGTTCCCGTTCTCCGAAGTGAGTGAGGAAGGCTGCCCGCTCTGAGGGTTGATGGGGGCACGTGGCTTGCTGCGGGCTGGACCTGGCAGTCCTTTCTACTCTCCTTCTGGTCAAGGGGTCCTCACACATGGTCCTGCTGCACAGGGCGGTGGCTTTCATAGCCTCCAGCTTGCACCATGTGAAAGACACTGAATCGCGCCTTCCAGTTGGCCCTACAAGAGTTCAACCACCAGCTTTATCTCGCATGGTCTACAGCCTCCCATTGACTGGTCACGCTATGACAAGCCGGGCTGTGACAGCCTGGATCCAGCCATGGAAAACCAGAGAGAGGATGGGAGCAAAATCTAACAGAACATGAAGAGCTGCACATAAAACCAGCGATTGATTGGGAAGCCACAAACCCACCGTGAACACAGTGGAACCATGGAGACACGTGACGACGTCGCAACACCACGATGGCACTGCAGAAAAGCGTTTGACTTTGCTCGCCACGCAACCCTGCCCAAACCCACTTTTGCTTCAAGTTTTGCTTTGCATGAGAGTGCTTTCCTTGTCCAACGGCACCCCAGCCAAAGTGGGAAATCCTCAGGCAGAGGAGCCCTTCCCAAAGCCAGGGAAGACCCTCAGCCACAGCTGCTACCGATCTCTGGTCCGAATTTGCAGCACAGCTTCTGCACGAAGAGCTGCAAGACGTAACTACTGGCAGTCTCTCATCAGTATTTCTTAATTTTTTGGTCCCAGGTCTGTTAGGGGGACGGGGGTGAGCCAATCGTCTTTCCTTTGGTCACTCTAGGTATGTAAGTAGAGATGAGACAGGAGAAGAAATGCAGAGGGGCTCACCGGCAGGGAGCAGGCTCCCATCGGTCAAATGCCCTTCCCTATTTTCTTGATCTTTCATTTAGACTGAAGCTGACATTGGTGTGATGGCTTTCCAAAGCACGTCACCCTGCCTGCCTGGAGGATCTTCCTAAGCCAGTCTGGGAATGTCCTTCTTCTGCGCCTTTTTTGTAGAGTTTAATGCTTGCAGTAACGGTCCACGTGTGTGTTTGGGTGACGTCCCCGAAATGGCAACTCAGATATTGATGTTTTATGGGGCAAACAAATCAGCACAGGCCTAAAACAATCCTGAAGATAGATCAGGATCACAATATGCCCCAGAAGGATTACCAGTCCTCTCTACTGCAAGAAGACAGGCTCTGTAGACCTCTACACCTTATCACCTCAAGGCATGCCACGATGTTTTAATAGTCATTAATAAGAGATTACATAGCACCATCCCGCCTCCAAATCTTCAAACGTGTGCAGCACGCTGAGCCCATCTCCAGTGTAGCTGGATGCTCCCAGCAGACTCGTTTTGCCGGGACGTACTTCGAAAGCCCCACACAACGGCTGGCGTTTGCACCTGGAGACACAGGGAGGGATAACGGTTCGGATTGTCTAGGCTCGTAAAGCCTCAAGGTGCTGCTGGTGCAGGACAAGGGACTGGTATTACAGTGCCAAAGATGCCCTGTGGGCAAGTTACGGACATAAACGTGCCACCAGCGAGCCCTGAGGGGCCGTGAAGAGCTCACCTTGCTCCTCATGGCACCATCCTGAAGACAACAGCAACCCGCAGCTGAGCGATGCCCATGCTGTCTCTGCGGGTGGTGGCCACCCAGCCTACGTCAGGCTTGCCAAAATGATGGCGGCTTCCTGGAATGGCCAGTTTTAAGGAGCGAGAGTGACTGATTTCTTTGGCACGTGGGCCACGGAGGTGCCAGTCCCCACGTAGAAACGATGGGCTTCTTGTCCCAGGGGTGCCAAACAGTGCTGCCTTGTGGCACGGTGCTTGTTCCCCTGCCTGGGGAGGTATGGATGGAAAGGTATCTGCCTTCCAGCTCAGGGCGTGAGTGGGGAGTGGGGACGGGGGGGGATCGCGGCCACCTTCACCCCACTGCACCTCAGCCCAGTGAAAGCGAGCGATGGACGTGCCCAGGGGAAGGGCCGAGGGCAGGGATCGAGGTGATCCCCAGGGAGGGCTGCAGGAAAATG